TTGAAGGCATTCAGATTCCTATCTCCCTAAGGATCTCCATAAGGACGACTCTTCAACCAACAGTTCTCCGAACATCTGCTGATTGTTTTATTCTATGAAAACTGAACGTCATGTGACTTGTTATGTGCTACCAATAATTTTCTCTCAAAAGTCTGAGTAAACTGAGAGGAATTGCTCCTCTAAACTCAATTTGACCATTCAGGATGACTTGGTTGTTAAGTGAACACGATGATTTAGTGCAAAGTTGGTTGTCTACTCAATACCCATTTACCATTTACCACTTCCTCCTTGTAACAGAATTCCAGTTTTGTTCTGATAGCTCATCTACACATGGATCCAAGGAGGAAATCCTGTTTAAGCCAGTCAGCAAAGGGCATTCTGTTGACAATTATTATTGGTCCATAAAAATACACATAGCCTAATTTGGTTCAATCAGACCAAAAAAAGGGGGGGTGGGTGTGGGGACTTCATGCCTTAGGAATGATTTCTCTTTCCTCTGCTGCACTTGAACAAGAAAGTACATTATTAGCTTCATTAGTCCTAGGAGAGAGCTCTGAGATGAAAATAACTTGAGTCTTGGATGGCACCACTGAGCCTTGATGTCACTGCATCTAGAGCTTGCCCTAACCCTGGACTGCCAGTTATGTGTTTCCCTTGATGAGGATTTTGTATTACTTAGCTGTCAAAAGCACCATAATTAACACAGATAGAACTACCATCTAGCAGTTTATAATAGCTAAAGAAAGAAACACTGGGTATAGTCACACATGCACTCTTTTAAGGAAAATATTTATCATAGCACTGAATATTCAACTTTATATTTTTTATAGCTTATATACATATATCCACCAGAATATAAGCTCTTTGAGAGCAGGCCATCTTACTAACCTTTGTTCACTACTTAGCACATAGTTGGCATTTAGTATGTCCTCAGTAAATGTTGAGTCAAGCAGCCTCTATTCTTGAGGACAGGGGATATGTCTGATTCACACATAAATACTCAACACTTAGGGCAGTTCTTTGCACATAATAAGCCTTCACCAAATATGTACTGAGTGAATAAATGAATTTACAACTATGAATATATGATGTTTATATTAGACACCTCGTACAGGAAAGAACATTGGGCTTTTGGGCTTGAACTCTAATGACCAAGACTCACATCCCAGGTCACCAGATATTTAACCAGAGCAACTTCCTTAACCTGAGTGCCTGTACTCACCTGTAAAATGGGGATTATAGTTTCTCCATCACCCTCACATCAGACCTGCAGAAGGTATAGTTAACCTAATGGAGACCTTGCTTAGGGACACGGTCCTGTTCTTATCAACCTTCAAGGCAAATGTTTCACGTTAGACGAAGGGAACTAATTATAGAGAATAGTGTGAATGTATCTGTATTGAGATTTTGGGATGTATTGTGAATAGCAGGGGCTTAGCAAAGAGGTATGTGGTGGTCAGAATGTGGTGATCACCTATTTGGAAGCTAAGTTCTTCATTTTTCAAATTATTGTGGTGACATCTATTACTGATAGTATCAAAATGCTGCACATGATTTCTGGGAAGGCTTAAGCACTAGGGAAGGGTAGGCAGAGGGTCTTGTGAGATGTACTTTTAACTATGGCAGATGTCAAGAAGGGTGTGTTAATTCTTTACAAATCAGGTGAGCGTATCAAACTGGCAAAGGCTGAAAAAAATTAACCTTGCTAAGAGCTTAGGGAAACAGGCACCCACAGGTACTAAGGTATTATAAATGGGCACCCCCTTTCTAGAGATCAGTCAGGCAGTACTCATTCAAAGCCTTGAAAACTCTGGCCCATCCTTAGTTAAATGATTAGTAAAGATACTTGTAAAGACTTTCCTATGGAAACTTCCATCGCAGTATTATAATGGAGTAGCAAAAAAATAAAAATAAAAAGTGAACATACATGCAGAAAGAGATAAATGGCAAGAAGGTCACCAAAAAGTGGCCCTATTGTAGACTGGTGGGATTTCAGGTGACTTCTTTCTTTCTTCCTTACATGTTTCCATAAAACCAGCCAGCAAAACAATGTATTTTAAAATCAGAAATAATTTAGGTGTCTGTTATGTATCCTGTTCAATTCTGAGACCCAATTCCTAAAAGGGTATCTGACACACAGCAGACATTCTATAAAACATTTGATTGTTGAATGTATGTAGATAGGGAATTGGTAAGCCATACAGTAGATGTATACATAGCTACTACAACTCATATTGTAGAACTGAACTCACAGGTGGTAAAATATATTAAGGGAAGAAGGTAATTAATATTGTGATTGCATTAAAAATATGTAGTATAGAAAAATGATCTAATTTTTTGTTTTAGAAAAATGTATAAGAAAAGTTTGGAACAGCAAAAATTAACATTGGGAGATGATACGGTTAGGGATTTTTTTTTTTCCTTTTGTAGTCCCAGGACATATTCAAGCAGAATCTGGATAGCCATCTGCCAAGGATCTGTATTGGGTGGGAAGTTGGTTCACATCATCTGCCTTAGGAGTCCAAGATTCTAGTCTTCACCCTAAAAGAATGCTCTGAAAACTATCAATAAAATAAAAACTCTACATCCAAACGAATATTAAAGTGAAAAATATGAATACAAAGAATTAGAGAATGTTAGTAACACTGAATGCTACCGTGCCAAATGCTTTATGTACACAATTTCAATGTGTAAGCACAATCTTGTAACTTGGGTATTGCTGCTCTGTTTTCTTTCAGATGAGAAAAACAGACACAAACGGTTGACTTGCTTGAGGTCACATAGCCAGCTGTTGAACTTAAGTCTGTCACTTTGAAGCCATGCTCTTAATTAACTAGGAAGGAATCTTAGGGAACATTTTAGTTCAGCTCTTTTGTAAGAGGCAATTTTCCAACCGTGATCCATGAACCCTACATATTCACTTATTTATGCTTCTCAGTGTCTTTTGTTGTTGAGATCTAAAACTCCATTTACTTGGACAGAATATGACCAGTTGTCTCATTAGCTTATAAGCAGCTAATAGGACCACAGGGCTTGTATTACAAGATTTGTTTATACCACAGTCATCCCTCAGGATCCTGGGCGATTGGTTCCAGGACCCCTGTGGATACTGAAATCTGCATTTGCTCAAGTCCCTTATATATTGATAAAATGGTGGTGTTTTTCTATATAACTTAAGCATATCCTCCTATATACTTTAAATCATCTCCTGATCACTTACAATACCTAAAATGTAAATGTTATGCAAATACTTGTAAATACAATGTAAACAGCTGTAAACACTATGTAAATAGTTGAAAAAGCAGCAAACTCAAGTTTTACTGGAATTCACCCACCCCCACCCCCCAATATTTTTGATCTAAGGTTGGTTGAATCCACAGATGAGGAACCCACAGGTATTCTTTTTTTTTTTAATGTCTTTATTGGAGTATAATTGCTTTACCATGGTGTGTTAGTTTCTGCTTTATAACAAAGTGAATCAGCTATACATATACATATATCCCCATATCTCCTCGCTCTTGCGTCTCCCTCCCACCCTATCCCACCCCTCTAGGTGGTCACAAAGCACCAAGCTGATCTCCCTGTGCTATGCGGCTGCTTCCCACTAGCTATCTATTTTGGTAGTATATTTAAGTCCACGCCACTCTCTCACTTTGTCCCAGCTTACCCTTCCCCCTCCCCGTGTCCCCAAGTCCATTCTCTACATCTGCATCTTTTTTTCCCCCCCCCCGTCCTGTCCCTAGGTTCTTCATAAACTTTTTTTTTTTTTAAGATTCCATATATGTTAGCATACGGTATTTATTTTTCTCTTTCTGACTTACTTCATTCTGTATGACAGTCTCTAGGTCCATCCACCTCACTACAAATAACTCAATTTAGTTTCTTTTTATGGCGGAGTAATATTCCATTGTATATATGTGCCACATCTTCTTTATCCATTCATCTGTCAGTGGACACTTAGGCTGCTTCCATGTCCTGGCTATTGTAAATAGAACTGCAATGAACATTGTGGTACATAACTCTTTTTGAATTATGGCCACAGGTATTCTTTAAGAAAAATAAATACATAAACGCCATGTGAGGAACACAAAAAGAAACACACCTGAAGACTTTTGACCAGGGATATTCTCTTTTTTTTTAATAAGTTATAAATACTTTTAAATTTATCAGTGTTCATCAAAGAGCTCCCAAAGTTATTAAATCTTCTTCATTTTTCAGGAATTATTAATTCCCAGAGCAGACCACCTGCAGAAAAAGATGTATTTTAGAAAGTCAGGTTTCAAGCATCATGTCAGACCTATGGAGTCAGGGAATTAAAGATGCTAGAAATGAATGCCTCAGCTGAGGACTATTAACTAACTGCCATAATTATTCTAAACCAGTCATGAAACAAAAGATCCACATTTTAAAATTCTAGTTCTGTTTAAATAAAAACATCACAGAAACTGTTCAATCCATTACAAGGTTTAACCTTTGAAGTCTTTGTTGAAGTAAAAACTATACATTTATTTATTTTCTCAAAAACATCTTCCACAAAAGACTAAGGGAGTTTACTTTTGCAGATACTAAAGAGAAGAGACCTGTAGCCTCCTCCGTTCTGACTCAAGTGTTTGCCAAAGATCCATGAAGTGGAAGGCAGAAGGTCAGCTCTGTACACAGGCATCTCCTGTGGAAAGTTACTCAATCCCAAGGGCAAAGTAAGGGTAACATTTCTGAAATGAATTTGGAAAGATCAAAAAGGGAGAGCAGCAGAGGATGGGGTTGCTGGTGTACCAGGCTTCTCTCCAGACAGCTGGCAGCCACGCCACCCCCACCCCCATCCCCATCCCCCATCCCAGAAGACAGGAACAATGCTATAAAGGTAACTGAGTAATTTGGGCTAGCCAACTCTTCAAGTCTAATTCAAGCGCTTCCCTCACCTAGCTATTCCCTGCATTTGGTTTAGAAAAGAAGATAAGCCTTAACAACAATATAAATATATAAACTCTCTCTTTTCTAAGGCTCAAAGGAAGAATACACTTAAAGATAAGCAAAAATTAAGCCACTCAACATTTCAAGAGATAGCAGTCTATATAGCATTGCTACCGGCTACTATACATCAGGAGGGGCTACCCACTGAAAGCCTCTGGGTACAAAGTCCTTGACAGAAGAGACCCTGTGTCTTCTCATCTTGGCATTTTCTAGAGTTTTAAACAATAGATATCTACTGAATGAATAAATGTTCAAATAGCAGAAATGACCCTTTTTCTTGACTCTCAGGATCATATTTTCATACATCATCAGTTGTCTCTGTGTGCGTTTTGTGTGTGTGAACTGTTAAGTTCTGTTAAGCTTAATAAATACTGAGTATCACCACCAGTCAGTGCCGGTCCTTTAATTTCTTTCAATGATTTTAGCCCCCGAGCCAGATTCTCTAGGTTCCTCCTGGCTCCTAAAGGCAGAAAGATACCAGCTGCCATTTCCTCTTTACATTTCTAAGCAGGTTTTAGGTTCCTCTAGTTTCTCTTTCAGTAAAAGAAGCAGTCAAAAGATAGAAGTGACTAGAATCACCACCATCACACCCTGTTATTCCTTATGAGTAGTTTTCAAGTCTCTGCCTTTGCTGCTATTAAATCTTTAGACAATTTATATTTATTTATACCATCCCTACTACATCTTCAGCTTAAGCCAGTGGTTCTTAAAGAGGGGGACACTTGAAAATTATCTAGGAGCTTCTGAGTCAACCGGTACAGTTCAGGGCTCAGGCTTGTGACTTTTGGAAAACATTCCTCGGGTGATTATAAAGGTACACTTGCTTTCATACTAAGTCCAATTTACTGGATTCAAGGTACAATTAAGATCTATCTTATTTAGAAAATAACATTAAAATCTACAAAGGTTTTTGAATTAAGGAAGTTTCATGATCATTACTGGGAAGATCTAAGATTGCAAAATATTTTTCCTTTGAAGCTATCCTCGGAAAAATGTGGTCTAATAGTCTAAGAGATACCAATTTAGTTAAGTTTATCTTATAACAGTGCAGACAGTAGCACTGGATTTTACCTTACAGTCACTGACCTGGTTTCTGAGTTATATACACCTATGCATTTCAACAACAGGTCTTTGTAATTAGCATTCAAAATAAAGTTTTAGGATTGAAGTTCAAGACTATGTGTAATCCTAAAAATGAATATGTTGGAATAAAATCTCATTAAGTGCAAGGAATGAAGTATAAAGTGCTTGAGATTTGGAGAGTAAAAAAGACCTAGATTCTAGTTTGAATGCCACCACCTATCCACTCTTAACTTGAGAAAGTCTTTTTTTGACTTCACTGTCCTTCCATTTCCCCATGGGGGCCAGGGAAATAGGACACCTGGGACCAATGTAGATCCAAACACATGTTCTTCCTCCAAAAGTAGTATTATGCTGAAAATTTTTAAATGATTATTTTCAATTCTTGGAAAGGCCCTATGTGGATTCAGATTCTTCTTTTTGTAACCAGGATTCAAAAATAATCAGGACATATATTAAACAGACCTCAGTAGAATGTCTGCTATCCATGACTCCCAAGATATGGCTTCTGTTCTGGTTTCTCTTTGACAGTTTACAAAGCCTATTCACACATATATCACTTAATCATCATAATGACTCTAATGAAGTAGTTTGGTCATGTGCTGTTCTCTCTCCTTTACACACGAGAAAACTAAGGTTCAGAAAGTTAAGGACTTGCCCAAGATCGTACAATCAGTTAAACATCAGGTCTTCTAAGTCCAAAGCTCTTGCATTTTCTTTTATACACAAATGAAGTACACAGGAATCACTCTTACTCTCTGTCCCAATAACATAGAAAACCATGATATCTTCTGGTCCTCGTGAATATATGCTAGTTATAGCAATAATTGTATCACCTGTGAGGTCCACATGAAGTCCAAGAGACTTCTGATGCTCCTAAAAATTAGCATTTTTAAAAATCACCCTTTTTGTCAAGGCAGGCTTAACCCTAAGCAACAGCTAACAAAACTGACTAGGAAGAAAGTTAGATTAGGAACAAGGAAATCATGTACAAATGTTGAGATTTCATGTCTTTGAAATAATCAATAGTTAAACTTTTTAAGAACAGCTCCCCACAACCATATTTACTTATTTTACAAAATGATTCACCATGGGATTTCTTTAAATAACCATCTAATCTTAAAGGCACTTAAGTATATCTTGTATACACAGATATCATACCATGTGTAAAATCACAAAATATATTATGGTTCTCTTTTTATAAATGAAAAAAGTGAAATCCAGACAGGATTAATGTCTTGATGAATATAGATGTAGCTAAAGTGAAACACATGCTAAGCTAGAGAACAGGAGAAGCAAAGTTAAGCCTCAGGACTTCCAGCCTAGACTGTTTTCCACTACACAGTGATACTTCTTATCAGCTGGGGCCAGGTTCCTTATCCCTCCTTTTTCACAGCTCAGTGAGGAAGACTGGCCACATGTAAGATTCCAAAGAGGCAGGAAAGAGGTGAAAGGGAAAGAAGCCAGGCTCTCTATTACTCCTACATTGGTATGTAGCTTTCGCATTATCTCTCAGCTATTATTAAGTTATAAGTGGTGGTGTGGTGTGGATCTTACAGGGGAGTAAGAGCACCAAGCAGAGGGAGCCTCTGGAGACAGAGGTTCCAGTTCTGACCCTGCCTATAAGAAGTCACTTCAGAGCTTCCCTGGTGGCGCAGTGGTTGAGAGTCTGCCTGCCGATGCAGGGGACACGGGTTCGTGCCCCGGTCCGGGAAGGTCCCACATGCTGCGGAGCGGCTGGGCCCGTGAGCCATGGCCGCTGAGCCTGCGCGTCCAGAGCCTGTGCTCCGCAACGGGAGAGGCCACAACAGTGAGAGGCCCACGTACCGCAAAAAAAAAAAAGTCACTTCATATCTATAGGCCTTAGTTTCCTCATTTATTGATTTAACACTCCTCTATTGAGCACCTACTATGTGCCAGGCACTGTTACTGGTCCTGGAGGTATGCCAGTGAGTAAACAGAAAATTTCTGTCTCAGAACTTACATTCTAATTGAAGTAAAGCAATTCGGATGATAAATAAATACAAAATATGCAGGCAATGGTGTAGCCTAGCCACTAGCCATATGTGGCTATTAAAATAAAAAAACAAACATACAAAAAATTCAGTTCCTCAGCTTTACTAGCCACATTTCAAGGGCTCCACAGCCACATATGGCTAGTGGCTACCATATTGTAGAGTGCAGGCACAGAACGTTTCATTATCACAGAAAGTTCTACTGGACAGTGCCAGGATAGAGTGGGGATAGATGGGGAACGGATGCTATTTTAGATGGAATGTTGAGGGAAAGCCTCTCCAATTAAGAGGCTTGAAAACAGATCTGAAAAGAGATCTGAAGTGAGGGAGAAAACAGATCTGAAAAGAGATCTGAAATGAGGGAATAAGTCAAGTTGCTATCTGAAGGAAGAGGTTCCAAACAAAAGGAGATAATTTATTTGTGGTATTGTATACACATCACTTAAGGTCCCTTTCAGCATTAAAATTTGAATTCAAAGTTCTTCAAACAATGGTCTGAGGTTTTAGTTTTATTAAATAAAGCATGGTACAAAAGAAACTGCAACAATTCCATTTCTGTTTTGCAGAAAGCAATGCTTCCATGTGCTGCCTACTCCGTATTTAAAAACACTTCCTAAAAACTCACAAGATTAGAAACAAAAAATAGAGAACATTTCCCTTTTAAGTCAGACAACTGAATATTTTGAACTTCCTAAGCCGTGATTCCTCTGTCTCTAACATAACTCTAAAGGCTTTTGCCAAGCCCTTTCTTGAAAGCTTAATTCTCCCCTTCCCAAATCCACCAAACACCTCTAATTTTTTTTTTTTTCGTCTGCACCATGCATCATGCAGGATCCCTACCAACCAGAGATCAAACCCAGGTCCCCTGCAGTGGAAGCGTGGAGTCTTAACCACCAGACAGCCATGGAAGTCCCATCCCTCTCAATTTATTAGCATCATTTATTCCGTACACTAGAAACTGAGACGTTATCTTTCCAGTGATACTTAGGCATGTTAGGTTAACCAGGTGAACTACCTTTCAGACAGAATGCTGTCCAATGATCACTAAATCTGTAAAGCAATACACAAATTTGAAGCAATCAGCCTATGTATTACCTTCCCAGTAAGAGAGTAGCATGCTCACCATTTCATATCTTAAATCCCAGGGCTTTCATGCATTCCTTGTGGGCCTCAATTAGGGGTCCACAGTTCTCTTCTCCTTTCTCAATGATGCTATAAAACAAAATGTACTTGTTATCTAACAAAGTAGGCACTAAGCACATTAGTGGTAAATAAGCATGCAAGACAGTGATGGGGAGTGAGGCCAAACACGGATCTCACTGAATACAACTGGAGTTTTAAAAAATGCTATTATATCAAATGGCTTTGTTTTATTGGCTCCTGTGATACCTCCTTGCCCATGAAAATATCCCACAGATAACTAGTTTTGGGGGGGGGAAGGAGGAATCTGATTAGAAGAAATAATTATGCATATTAAATATTGCCTCTAGACAATATCCAAGGAATAATACCGCTCTATAATGAAATAAACTGAATAAAAAGTTAATGTTAAATGGACAGAAAGAAGAGCTTAATTTTTTGCCTATCCCAGAGGAATTAAATTTTGATTCTGCTCTACATTCAAATACACCTAAGTAAATCTACTTCTAACCACAAGACACCCAAACACAAAGAGCAAAAAATATTTGGCTGCCAAGAGCAGCCTGATGAGCCCCACTCATGATGATCAAAGAACTTTTTACTTATAAAATTCACAAAGGAAAGACTAGGACCACACAGCTTTATTTCTAAGGGCCTGAAAATGTAATCTTAGCACAGAATCAAGTTAAGCCAAATTCAACTACAAAAAAAAAAATGACTCCTGACTCTAGATATTTCGAGAGAAGCCATAGTGGTCAGAGATAATTGATGCAGAAGTAATTTAAAGAAAGGTAGGTTCTCCTTCCTTCTAAATCCTACATATCCTTCAATAACTTTAAGGGCTGTCTGCTTGGGATAGCAAGCTCCTTATGAAACTAATAGCTAGCCCTCCCTGATAGTTTACTGAATGCTGTAAATACTGTGCTAGGCACTTGATGTGGCTTATAGCACAGTAATCCTGGAGGCAGATCTTTTATTAGGCCCATTTTACAGATATGAGGCAGATATGTTAAAAAATTTGCTCAAGGTCACAAAGCTGGTTTGGTGGACCAGAATTCAAACCCTGACACTGGATCCCAGACTCTTAATCATGATACAATAATATCTGAAGGTTCAATAAGTACTTAAAGTGTGTAAGTATTGTTACCGATCATAGTAGTCTTTCAATTCTCCCTTTACAGTATTATTTG